TTGTAAATTTATGCACAAAATACTTGGTACTATTCAGTTTCAACGGCTGTAAAAAATTTGCAGCGAAAATGTATGCACGAAAGCGCCAAATCTAGCAAACACGTCCATTTAACAGAGTGCCAAATCCCGCATGCGCTGATTTCAGATTGCATAGGTTTATATAGTTCTATATTTCTTAAGACACCATTGAAATACTAGTTTAATTTTTAATTCCTTTTTTGATATCCTATGGATTTAACAATTTGGGAATTGTCTATGATGAAAAGTCTGCGATAGAATTTTGGGTAAAGTGCAGTTTTTAAGAATTGCACATACAGTCAAAAGTCGTTAATTCGGACACCCATAATCCAGAATGATCTATAATCTGGACCTCAAAGCTACAAACTGTATGCACATGCGTAAGACCTTTACAGCTGCAAATATGCGTGTGCGCATGCCCAAAATATGTTTACGCATGCACATTTAATGTATAACAGATGGTATAAGCTAAGCTAAAATTATCTTATTCAGTTAATGTTGCAGATTGTGCTGTTCCTTAATCTTCGAATTGGATCTGGCTTATTATTTTTGCAGACTGTTAGAGCAATTTTATAAAAGTAAGCTTGAACTTTCGATTATGTAAAATAGAACTTCGGATATATATTTACTAATATGTAAAGGATCTACAAAGCGAAAGCCTGTTTCAATGCCCATCAAACAAAAAGTGGAATTGCTGCAAAAAATGGATAAAGGCATATCCTTTGTTTCTCTAACCATTCTGAAATCTGTTTATCAATTTCACGCTGCTCTGCTGGGGAGGGAAACGTCGCGGCGTGCAATGAATTGGAAGTTGATCTGTCAGCACTATCCTTAACTTCAGGGCACATGTATTTATTTTATTTGGCTTATAATTCCTTACTAAATTATTTCATCTTGATGTACTCCGTCTTTGATATGATTTAAATCAAATTCCTCGTCATTATAATTCGCTTCCGATAGCGAAGAAAGTATAGTAAACAAATAAATATTAAGTTTTTTTTTTTTTTTTTTTTGTTTTTGTAAATTTTGATACCCTTTAGATCATAATTGTTCTTTGTTTCATACATTATGGTTTTATATTTTTAATTTTATAATTTCTGCATGCCATCTTACCTGATTTAAACCGATGATATATAATCCGGAATCGCCGAAGTCCCGACGAGTCCAGATTAACGACTTTTGACTGTACACAGTATCCATGTACACATCAACTTATTTTCACTTAAAAAAAAAAAATCCCAGAATTGCACAAAAATGGCACTGCACATACCCTTGACTTTATCTATGTACACATCCACCTATTGTCACTTAAAAAGTAAAAGAAAATTGACAAAATTTCAATTGTTTTTACCCTTGTAAAAAGCGGCAAAGAAATAAGCGGGCGATTCTGCACTTTACCGAAAATGTTTTCAAAGAAAAGGCATCATTCATTATAGAAAATTATGTTTGAACAACCAACGAGATGACATTATGCTTTAGCAATAACTCAGTAGCAAAATATTATATGAAATTAACCTTTCATCTAAATTAAAACATAAATATTTAGATAGTTATTTATTATTATACTTCCTTTCTTGCATTAGGGTTGCCGCAATTACTTTTGGCAGCACTGGCATCAACAATAGTTTGGTGATTTTTTACGGCCCTCGAAAGCAAATAGTACCAAATACTCTAGTCAAATTTAAATAAGTAATCACCTATGACCTGGGAATTACTTTATCTATTTTACATAAATTTTTATGAGGAAAATTCAATTTATAAACAGACTTCAGAAAAGAATTAAATTCGTGAACCGAGGTTTCACAGTACATCAAATGAAATTAAATAATGATTACATATTTTATTTATTTGAACTCTAGCTCCTCAAATGACCGCCATCAACATTTAAATACTGCCAACCCCAGCAAAGCCTTCATCGACATCAGGAAGTCGATATCCATATCACTATGAATCTCTGTCACAAAGCAGAGTAAACAGAAGAATACTCTATTTTTAATCTTGTAAACTATAAATATATTGCAAAATGTATCCAATAACAAAATACTGTTAGATGCATTCTGTGATGTATTAAGAAAAATGCAGCTCAATAAATATTCTTATGTTAGCATAACAAAATAGTATTTAGTTTTAATTATATTACATATAACAGTTTCTGAATATCTGCATCAACTGCTTTAACATTAAGTCAAATTAAAAAAGCAGAAGACTGCTTTAAAAATTAGAGTAGTTGCTTGTGTTTCAATTAAATTTCTGCTCATATCAATCCAGTGATAATTACAGTATTAGACAAGGGGTTCCCAGCAAGATCAGCATTGATCCCTTGGTTGTCGACAGCCAAATATGCACTGGCAATTGATCAGCATTTTAAAGATGCCATTTATCACATAAATTTATATATATTATTGCAAAATTGATAATTAATTGTTTATTGATATAAAATTACATCATGTAATAAGGAAGAAATGGTATAAAAATATAAGAGGGGGATACACTGTAATTTTTAAAAATCATTAATATTTTTAATAGATGCAAATTTTTTATGCAAATGTATAATATAAAAAGGTAAAATACAAGAATACTGAAAAAAAATACAAAGAACACAAAACTTTGTCAGATGACGTACTGTCAAGTAAGCCGAGTGCAAAATTAAAAAATTTTTTAATGTTTACTTCAAGATAATGAAAATTTGGATATGCCAGGATGACTCACTGAATTGCAATACATTTGGTCTTGATGGGTTAGAGTAGACCCATTAAGACCAAATTATACCCTTTGTATTATCGCGAAGTTGTTGTTTCATTTATCACGAAGTTGTCGTTTCATTTATCACCAAGTTGTTGTTTCATTTATGGTAGCCTGAGTAGTTCAATGGTATGGAAATCCTATTATGACATAATCGGTTGCACAATTGAGGTAAATTCGTAAGGGCTTGTGATGTGTGTTAGTTAGGAAGTATATTGCTTGTTTTGTAGTTTAGGCAGTAAAATGGCTGAATGTGGTAAGATTAATTTGAAATTTCTGTACGATTTGGAAAGAAAGGGGAAAAGAGCATTACTTGACTGGTGTCTAAATGAAGGTTTACTTAGTAGCCATTATTAGGTGTCCCGTTTGTAGGAAGGAAATGCATATGGTTGAACGTCGCTACAAAGGATATTTTTTACTCTTATTTTGTGAATTTATGTGGCGACGCCAGTATATAGATTCTAGTTCAGATAATGTTAGTAAGTTTTTGGATGCTGTTAAGGAATTTTGATTGACTGAAGACGTGTTAATTCGTAAATAATATTTCGGTATTTTTAAAGTGGATATTTCCTTTGTGCAGTGCAAAGATGAATTTCTTCTTTTATTTCATTGTTTGATTTAAAATGTAGTTTATTGAGATTATATATTTTTTGTTGGCTGCTCCTTTGACTTTATAAGTGAATATAGTTTGATGTGTACATGGACAAAGTCAAGGGCGTTCGCAATGCCTAGTTTGTGCAATTCTCTGATGTTTTTTTAAATAGGTCGATATGTACGTGGATAAAGAAAGTCAATGGAGTAAGCAATGCCATTTTTGTGCAATTTTGAGATTTTTTTTAAGTGAAAATAGGTCGATGTGTACATGGATACCAAGACTGCACAATTCTTTGTCTTGTTATTTTGGCTTTGTGTAGCGAAACTCGGCATCCATGTACTGCCAAAAATTGGCACGTTTCGGCAAGGGACACCCGTAAATATATTTTTACCGTTTTGATGTTATGATGCAAAAAAGAATTGATTGCATTGAAGGAGGATATTCAAAACACGGATGTAAGTTTTGGAATTTAAAAGTTGTTAGCGAACAAGATTATAGTTTTTCCTTTTTATTTAGTAGAAGCAGGCTTTATTCAGATCAATGAATTTACTATGAAAAACAAGAAACAAGTTGCTTTTGCTTAACAAAGTGATTTAAAAATTATGAAATTTTAAGCCAAATATTTAAAACAATTGCATCAATACATAAAATACAGCCACTATATTAATTAAAACTAATTCTGTTCAATCAGAATCCGTGGTCTTTTTTCTGAAAACTGTTTTATATTTGTAAAACTAAAAATATTAATAATAATGTCAAAAGTAATAAAACACAGATCTAGTTAATCATTTGTTCAAAACTGTCGTTCATATTCTAATTCTTTCCTTTCAGTTATTTATGTCCAATTATTTGTATTACAATTATGTTGTATACTATACATTATATATATAGACAAAAATATATAGATTAAAAAAATTATAGACAAAAATGTAACACTCGATGAAAAAAAACATTCTTTTAAAGGGGTTCAATGAAAGAATAAGGTTGGAAATCTCTGGTACAGACATATTCATTTCAACTGGTCACTGCACACAACTTAAAAGACAAAATCTTTACACGAACCTGATAACGTACCATGAAATAAAGACCGACTTTTTACCAAACAGGTGTATTTATCTATGAATTTGAAACAAATTAATTTGTGAAACATATTCAAAACATGCACATATTAGAAAGGTTGAGAATTAAATGCGTTCTTCTCACGTGTTTCTACACTACAGACAACATAACTACTTTTCATAATTTCTGCTCACGAAATAAGCATAATGACTCTACATTCGCACCCAAATTAAAATGCAGTTCACAACAATTCACCATCTCCTCCCCCCCGTTCACTTTTTCAGTAGAGAAAAACACAACGAATTAAAAGCATTCTTGTTGTTACGTTCTTCGCCACTGACATTATTTCTTTGCAGGCTGCTGGCGATTTCACATACTAAATTTACCTGTCATAAAAATCACGTTTATTTATCTCATATCAAATGGATGAACGCTTGTACTGAAAGCTTCATTAGCATTTTTCGCAATTTAATTACTTTATCAGACGTTGATTATAATGTGAATATCAACTTAGATGTTAACAGAAAGCTCATTATGATAAAATTAAAGCTAATGCAGGAGAAAATGTAATAAGCACGTTTCCTACCGTAAGCAGAAATTGTCTCTATTGACAATCCAGGAGGCAATTTTTGAACAATAGGCATAACTTCGTACGCTTCGTGCATGATGAAATTTAGAAAACAGTACTTTAAATCTGAAGCTTTCAAAACAATTTGTCAATCTCATCTGACTACCGAGTATCTTCCCATTCCTTATTTTGAAAGCAAATCAGATGTTTAAGTTAAAGTTGAAGTAAATAAATACGGAATAATCACTTATAAAACCATTGTGAGGCATGCATGAATAAGCCGAGTTTGGCCAAGGTCCGTAGAAGGTTCTACGGACCTTGGAGTTTGGCATGTGCCAAAGTTCTGTGCATGATGTTACAAAGTAATCTTCAAAGAGCTACTACGATTATATTTAGAGCTTCAAGGCGCGAAAGCTCCCTTTTAGTTTGTGTCCGTCAATCAAATATCTATATAAAAAAACGAAAGAGCATAAGCAGATGGAGTACGATTATTTCAAGTGGTCGCCATCAGCCGACGAAGTGAAGAAAAAGGGAAAAGAGAAAAATTAAATTCATAAAAAAAAAAAGATAAAGTCAATGACGTGGAAGAATCAATTTGGCTACATTTTGCTGCTTAAAGTTTTCAGAAACTTTTGTCGTTGTTGTTGCTTATGCTCACTTGTCTGAGGCCAATGGTGCGATCACCTATTCGGACCAACATTAACCAAGCATGCGCATTGAGTTTTCGGATCCGTCATTTGAACGTCGTCAATCGAAAAGAACGAATTCTACATACGCGAACTGCCTAAAATGTTGTAGTGAATCTTTTTTTTTTTTTTTTTTTTTTTTTTTTAAGGCAAGTTACTTGGCGTAGTATATCATTTTTTAAGCGTTAGCGACTTTCAAAAGATTACAAGGAAAAATGGGTTCCTTTTCTTATATATATAAAAAGAAGGAATACATTTCCTTATATTAAAGTATATATAAAGAAAAGCAGATTTTTATGTTCGCAATGTTTTTCGTTTTCCTGAACGGTTGGAATAGTTTAAATGACTGATTTGGGGGAAGGGACAAAATCTTGTTTACATATTTTGTACTTCTTAAAATACATTTAGCTTCAAAGATGTGTTTTGCACAATCAAGACTTTAATGCATTCCTCTTTGAAAATTTTCGTCTGAGAAAACCACCGACCGTCTTAATAACCACTGCGTTGAACCTCCTCGGAAGAAAGAAAGAAAGTACAAGAAAATGTTTATAGATTACTTGCAATCAATGCACATAAAATAAATACTAAAAAGGCTATAGAATAAACCATGTTTGAACATCGATGAGTACAGGGAAGCATAAAAAAGCAAATGAAAACAGAAATTAAAGCATTAAATAACCATTTACAGACGCAAGACACTTATTTTTACATATATTATCAATATTTTATATTTTATTCAATTATGTGCTATTTCTAATTGAATACTCTTTGCTTGATAAGCAAACAGCAAACATAATAATATTTTCCGAATACGTATCCCCGGGATACTATCCCGATCTGCTGCTACGCATAATCCCTTAGCAGGGAAAAAGTATCACGCTGTCCTCCTAGAACCTAGAAGAAGTACGTCATCGTATGACAACCATAACTTGGCCTACCATAATAAGTTGTTTCTCCCCGTTTTGGCGTTAAGGCTGTTCTCCGAACCTTATCCAACATCCTCTTATCAAAAGCATAGTAATGGAAGAACATCAAATTAAAGGACACGTCGGCGTTTCTTCCTTTCTTAAATTTTCTACGAAAAAGATTGTGGTTAATATCTGGACAAAGAACAGTTTCATCCAGCCTGGGATTTTGCATTATTTGTAAAAGATATTCCAGCAAAAGGGTCAATACTTCAGCTCCGTCACTGCAAAAGCGCAAAATATCATTTTGCTGATGATGATGGTTCGGTAAAACCATCGAAACTAGTCCTGTAAAAATTTGAAAATCTAACACTGATTTTTGTTGTTTGAGTTCTAAATTGGTACTCTTCTCATGTAAATGTATTTCCAAATAAAGTTATTATTAATCTTGCAAAAACTCGTAACTATTAGAATTGTAATCTTTTGACAAGTAATAATAAAAGTTGATCACATTTGTAGCTTCAGACCTTTGAATAAGATTTCTAAATCTTCCCGAGAATTACTCATAATCGTTTTCGGTAATCAAAATAATGTGAAACTGGACTCCAAACCATTAAAATGTTAAAATTTTACTTGAAATTCCTGTCATAGTAATACTAATTAATTTAAAGAAAATGTATTTTCGAGCTGCATAAAATTACTTCGGCAGCCCGCGGGCTCCCAGTTTGAGACCAGGGGGGGCCCAAGAGCGATGCGCAGTGCAGGGAGAAAGTTAAGCCACATACGCATGACGTCATGTGGGTGACAGCGTTAGTTCTTGGCGTTTGTTTACTTTCGTTGCATTAACAGTTTGATTTGATTTGTGTTGTTAATTCGGAAAACACTCTTTACAACCAGATAAAATAACTATTTTTTAATGAAGTTTAATAGTTTTCATACATAACTGTGATGTAATTTTACATTTATTTTTCATTTTACTGCTATTTTACATTTAAATTTGAAAAATTTTTCATTTTAAATCATTTTTTATCATAATCTTCACTTTTGTGTATGAGACTTACATCGTAGTGAGATATTTAAACTCAGTGTCATGTTTACCAATACTGAGTACCTGAATGATTAGTTTATAAAAATTCGCGTATCCAATCCAACTTCATTCACATGTTTTGGTTACTTTCTTTACATCATCCCAAACGTAATTCTATGTATTGAAGCAGCGTCTGGGTTAAGCTTTTGCGAACTAAGTAAACTGATACATGCCTCACACCGTGAGGAAAGAACAATTTCTCGACCACACTATGATGCAAACATCGAATGAGTGAGTGACATATTTCCTTCAGTGTTATTTAACTGATGCATACAGGTATGTGTGATGTAATTTAATTGATATAACTTACACATGCTTGAATCTGAAGGAAAACAAATCTGTGTATAATGCTACAATACAAATAGCGTAAGTAAGATATTCTGTTCAGTGTTATTTAACTGCTGCATATGTTTTAATTTTGATTCCATATAACTTGTTTTTAATTATAAGAGAAAGAAAAATAATTCAATATTGAACGCATATTTCGAGTATAACAAAAGTATTTTAAGAAACAACCTGATAAAAATACATTAGTAATTAAAATATTTAATTTATGTACAGGCTGAATTTAAATTAAGATGTGGTGGTGTATTTAATTATGGCAAAGCACACTAGGGCTATCTGCGTTGTGATGCCTTCGTGGAGGACTTTCTCAGGGAAACTGGCTCGTATACACGTTACACATGAGGAAAACCACGAAAACACCCATGCAGCCAGCCCGTTCGCGGAATTCGAACCGAACTACCAGTGTTCAGCGACTTTACCGCTCGGCCGCTGGTGGGCCGAAACTAAGATGTAGGGCAAGTTTATTATTATTATTATTGTGCGTATATGTGTAAGAAAATGTATTTTAATTGTTCCATTTTTAATGTATGGAAGGAAGAACAGGATGCCAATATCGAAGATTATTTACTGTAGCAATTAATCACGTCAGGATAAATGTTATATAGAAATCTTGGGAGTGAAGGGATTATAAGAGTACTTTTAGATTATACTGAAAATATACGCACTTCTGCTAAAATCTGAAGTGAATCAGTATGAAGTGCATTTTCACTTTAAAAAGAATGTGATAAGTATACTATTTAAAAGTATAATGACGGATATTAAGACATTTGTAGAATTTTATGGTATTTAAATATGAATTTGTTAAGTCAAATCTCTTTATATATATTTTTGCTTGAGATTAGTAATTTAAACTGAAAATCACGATCATATATTTCTCATGGAATGTCAAAGTTCATTTGTATTAAAAAAAAGTGCATGAGCAATGAAAATAAATAGAATAATACTTTTTGATTATGTTTTTGCCATGGTCTTAGCAGTTATGCCATCATGCGTTCTGTTCAACAAGATTTATTTAGTGCAAACAATACTACGAAAATATATTGAAAAATACCTTGTTTTACAATATTTATTTCCCTTAATTAACTTAAATAACGTTTTTCATTTTCTAATGCTTTCCTTTACGAAAAGAATTTAATGTTTACAATTATTTTCAGCATTCGTACGAATTCTGTGCATAAAATAAACATTTTCTTTAACAAAATACTTAATCGGAAAGTATTAACCCGGTATTTCCGGTGTATCTACCACATATAAAATGATCATTTTGCTTTAGTTTACATTTTTTCCATTACCAAAATCATGTAGCAGACGCGTCGGCCGATGCGTCTTGTCTCCCGGGTGACGTCACTACCAGCAACCAATGGCACGCTTTTTCCGTTCCTGGCCTAACCTTAGTATCTTAAAGAACCTTGGTTTGAGACCAATGGGCCAAACGACGTAGCTCAGTATGCAAACCCAATTAATGTCTAGTTTTGTTATTTAATTTTTACCTCTTACCGTGTGTGTTTGTTTTGTAAATGGACTATTTATGTTTTTTGACATTATTTTCATATCGTAATTTTATCAATAATTCACGTGTGTTGATAAAAATCTTTTGCTTTTTTTAATAACAGTAATCTAAGAATGAATAATAAATGATTAAAATAAATGAAAAGTTTCATTACAATTATTTCAAATTTGATGTCTTTATTTTAATAAAGTTTGATTGACTACCAAAATCGCATAAATTCAAAATGAGTAAACGGTCTGCAGAGGAGGAGAACGTTTGTTCTTTCTTCTTAGAGCGAAAAAAAAGACTCTGTCGCATGAAAACTGGGAATGGAATGAATTTTTGTCCTCATCATTCTCATTTAGGATCTGATCTGGTAAAAGTATCATTTTACGTTTCTGGTAGAGTGAAAAATATGCCGAAGTTATTCATTATCAGTAAATTATTAATATATGACAGTTTAAAATTAGAATCTCATTTTAATATAGTGCGGTGTAAAATTGTAATTTTTGTTTTGATATCATTTTAGAATGAAAAGAAAGGTGCCAGAGTACCATGTCCACTTGATTCTTCCCAGTAAGTGTTTGAAAAAAAAATGTTTATTCCAGTAATTAGCAGTTTTTTTTAATAGTATTGTATTTATAAAGTTCACAATTTAAGTTTTTTATATTGGCCTGAGTATAATGCAAACTGTACTCAAATGCATGGCTAAAGAAATAAACCATATCTACCTTATAAGGTGATTGAATTGTAAAATTGCAGAAAGTTAGTAGTTTGACGCTGAAATTCTGGTGAATGGATTAGCTGCAAGGAAATTTTCGTAGTTTTCTCCATGTTGTAATTTGGATGCCAGCTGGTTTCCCATACAGATTTCTCCACAAAGGCAGCCCTCTTCTTAAGCAGGTAGCTGTCATGTGGTTTGTCATAATCAAACCAACCAACTATCTTATAAGCACATGTTAACATTTAAAAACTATAAGGGAGAGTGCCAAGGGGAAAGTGCAGAATCACCCACTGCTTGGCATGTTTTTAACAATTGCACAAACTCGCTATCCATGCACACATCAACCTATTTTCACTTTAAAAAACATCAGAGAATTGCACAAATTTAGCATTGCACACTGCCTTGACTTTGTCTATGTACAGATCGATGTATTTTCACTTATAAGGTCAAAGGAAATTGAAAAAATATAATTCCTCTTACTATGATAAAAAGGGTCAAACATAACACGCCAAATAAGTGGCCAATTCTGCACTTCACCCGTAGGCCAATTATCGCCTATCTCATTTATGCTCAAAAATAAATTAATTTCCAGTTTAGCAGTAATCAGTGTGTTGATGAAAATTATTATCAGATCATGAGTGCATCTATTTCAGTTTTATAAACTTTACAGAATGCTTAAATTTTTAGTTGTATTTATAAAGTGACCTACTTCTTGTATATTTTAAACACATATACAGTAGAAATGTAATTATTTTTAATAAAGTCCTTAATGCAGCTCTGCTTAATTTTAAATTTGGGAGAATTATTAACACTTTTATATCAACATTTAAAAATTTGTTAAATGCAGATTTGTCACTGTTAAATATTACCAAATGTTTTTATTTTATCTATTTATTTATATTTTAAAATCATACTATATTTGCTTCAACAGAGACAACTGCCATGTCTATTTTGCTGAGTCCATTTTTGCTTTCAGAACTGAATGATTTTGTATCCATATTCTGTTCATGATAAATGTCTTCAATAATTTAAGGTTCATTAGTTTCACCTTTTAAATCAAAATGCTCAGTATTATAAACACATACCTGTTATATGCATCACAATTAAAGAAGAGTTAAAAATAGTAAAGCTGGTGAAAAACATCACTTTTTTAACATGATTTAAAAGCTATGAACAATTTTTTAAAATGTAAGGACTTCCTTTTTAAAGCTGTCACCTTAAGCATTTTGTTGAAATTTGGCAGCATTTAAAATCAATTTTGAAAAAACTACAAAAACACTAAGGTAACTTTAGGGGGGGAGGAATAAAGTAATGTGTAGTGGAAAATAACATCTATTTATCTTTGTAGAATCCATAAGTCAGCAGGTGCTGCTATTATAGAATCCAATATTAATATTTTTTAATTTTTCACCCTAGTTCGCTGCCTACACAAATAATGGCAAACTTATGACACGTGTGTCATAGTGAACTCAAACCCATTTTGGATGATGTGCATCATGCATTTCCACAGCGATCAATGGAGGCAAAAAATTCCATAAAATAAAAATATTGTTCTTTTGCAATGGCCCTCTCATTGTCAACAATGTGCTGTGCTTACCTCAGGTTTGTTTGAGTACATACTAAGCAGATGAATGCTTTTGTGTGTGACTCAACACCAGAGTTAAGCTTGGGCTTTTCCAAATTTTGGCACACTGAGCTCAAAAGTTTTGTTATAACTGGCTGCACTATCTTTTAAAAAACAATTCTTCAGCCTAAAAGCATATGAAGTACAAGGGAGTGAGAAAAAGAATCCTGGAATCTTAAATTATCAGTATTAAGAATCCCCACCCCACCAAATACTTCGCCTCCAAATAACTTTGTGACCATTTTTACGCTGTTACTCAGTATGCCAGTTTCCATGCTCTTGAGGGGGGGGGACCTTCCATCTTTTTTGGTTAATGGTATGTTAAATACATTTACTCAGTATGCCAATTTCCATGGTCTTAAAGGGGGGGGGAAACCTTCTTTCTTTTTTGGTTATGGTATGTCAAATGCAGTTAATATTTTGAAGAAGGGGAATCTATGTGAAAGAATGAATGATATCATGAAGAAACTACTGCTTATTTTCTATATGGTGGAAAATTAAAAATCATCAATATTTTAAGGGGTGAAAATTTATCGATATCATACAGTTTAAACTGAGCATTAAAATCAAATATGTTGCATGTTATAAATATTGCAATTATCATTTCTTTTCCAACTGATTATAAATTTAAAATGATAAATATTTTATACGAGAAAAAATATTGAATCAACGACAACATTGCAATCAAAAATTTGAAAATTAAATATGCTGCATATTAAAAATCCACAGATTAAGTTTTGGTTCTGGTGACTAATCATCCAATTTTGGAGACTGTGCAAAGTGGCTGCTTTAAACCTCCAACTTTATATGTAGAACTTTTTTCTTTTAATATATTGCTTTGATTTCTTGGATATATATCAAGATTTTGAAAGATATTAAGGAAAAGGATGTTACAACAAATATTCTGCTCCATATATATGCGGCCTGTCCAGTTGGATAGTTAACAAGTAAATGCCAAAATTTATTTTATTGAATGTTACCTTCAAGGATAGTCATTGCTAATTGGAGGTAATTTCATACTGGGTTTATATTTTTTTAACAGAATCAAATATTAATTTAAGGATATTATTAAATTGGAATTGGATTTTATAATGTGGTCTTTTGTACTTTAACACCTTCCATATTGTGTATGCAGATATATATTTCATATGTATATGTTGCTTCAGGTAATTGACATTGGCTGATAGTTTAAACATTCAGTGAATGTTTCCATGTGAATATTATCATGGCACAAAATGATGCCATGCCATGCTCAGTTTAAATTTTATGAAGTGATTCTTGTGAATGCCTTCCTCTTAGTTTCTTTCAGCTCTTCATATCTGCAATGTTATAATGTGTATCAGTAGTAAATATGTAAGTAAGATCTATATGTTATGATTTTTATATTCTTAATTTCATTATTTATCAAAAGTGGGATTTTTTTATGTTTCAGTTTCTGCTATGAGTCAAAACTTCAAAAACATCTGAAGAAGTGTAATGCAAGAGAAAAGGAAAAGCCTGTTGGTATAATTTTCAAGATAATTTTATTAAAATATGTTTTAAAAAAATTGTATTTACTTAAAAATAAGACCTCCCGACCCCTTTTTTGACTACATTTTTTGGTATAAAATTTGGTAGGGCCTCATAATAGCTATTTTATTTACAGAATAAGATGAAGGACTTTATTATGATACTACAGTGCAAAGTCCGTAATCCGGACGTCCATTATCCGGAATGATCTATAATCCGGACCTCAAAGCCACAAACGTTTTTTTTTGTATGCTTTACACGTGCGCGTAAAGAATGCACATACATTACGCGCCCTATACATCCACAGTTATAACACCTTGGTTCTTTACTCTTATTAGATATAGCGCATGCTTTATTTTGTGTGTTAGTATTTGAATAACCCTTATTCTTTCTATCTGGAACGCGGATTTTCTCATAAATTTTTAATTTCTCTTTGAATTCAGAAATAGTTTTACACCCATACAAAATAATTTTGTTCCTACTCTAATCGGGTATCCCATTGATTACATAATCAAGAATTGATGAATCATCAACAAAACCGCGACTGGCTATTTTACTCATGGCAATTAAATATTCGGAAAGGGATTCACCAGGTTTTTAAGTGTCCTTTAAAACATAGTGTAAAAAATCACACTTTTTTCTACTTAGCACCATATTACTTGTGTAATCAGAACAGCTTGCTAAATGAACCGCATTTTTTTTTCTACTTAGCACCATATTACTTGTGTAATCAGAACAGCTTGGCTTAATGAATTGTTTCTCTAACCATTCCGAAATCTGTTTATCAATTTCACGCTTCTGTGTGGGGGGGGGACGTCGCGGCACGCAATGAACTGGAAGTTGATCTGTCAACACTATCCTCATCTTCAGGGCAGATGTTTTTATTTTATTCGGCTTATAATTCCTTACTAAGTGTAGTATATCATCTCGATCTACTCCTTTGATATGATTTAAATCAATTTCCTCGTCATTATAAATATCATGAATACTTATCAAATAGTTTTCTATTTGCAATTTTCTAATTTTGACTATGCATGATGGATGCTTTACACATGCGTGTGTTGAAAGAAATGTGTAATAAAGTAAACAAATAAATATTAAGCTTTTTTTTTTGTAAAATTTGATACCCTTTAGATCATAATTGCTCTTTATTTCATAAATTACTGCTTCATATTTTTAATTGTATAATTTCTGCATGCCATCATACCAGATTTAAACGGATGATGTATAATCCGGGAAATCTATAATCCAGAATCGCCGAAGTCCCAATGAGTCCGGATTATGGACTTTGTACTGTATATAGAATAATTACACCATTTAAATGTGAAATAAACCAAATGGGTAGTTATTTTTTTCCAATGGCAGATTGTGAACAATTACGAATGTAACCCAGTCCATTAATCTATACAAGGCCGGATGTGCTGGTCTCTTTATTATGGAGGCACCTAATAGGTGGACCACCATTGCCTTTCCTATGAAGGGATAGACAGTTACAACCATGCCTTCTCCGGGATTCGAACCCAGGCCCTTTGGCATCGCAATCAGCTTCCCTGACCACCATACTGACTGAGCGGCACATAGGTAGTTATTGAATGCCATATTTACACATGCATTCCCCCCTTTTTTTTAATTTTATAATTACAAAATTCAAGGGGGTTGGAACTATGTGAATAATTTAATTTCCAGAGGACACAGTTACAGTAATAACATAAACAATGAACAATATTCATGGATATACTAATACTAATTATCATAATATTATTTATTGGTAAAAATATATTTCGGGGTACCCTTTAGCGAATTTTTAGCGCCATTCCTGTTCACGCCCAACGTCCTCCCCAGTAAATTGGTGTCAAAAACATAATTAAAAAAAATGTATAATCTCGATAAACTGCATTTTAAATCAAACAAGGAAATAACATAAGAATGGAAATACATCTTACCTATGCAGTACAAAAAGGAAATATCAACTTACCTTATTTAAAAAATTTTCTTTCTTTGATATGTGTGACATACACACAGAATTCTTTAACGGCATCCAAAAACTATTTAAAATTATCTAAACTAGAATCTGTGTACTGCCATCGCCACATTAACAAAAGTAAAAATGAAAACTATCTGCCAGACTGTCAGTAGCATTTCTTTTGAAAAGCTCTTTTTATTATACCTTCCATAGTGTTGATATGAGCTCCAGTTTTGAAATTTTAAATCCCACTGCATAATTTACTGAGAGGTGAATGAAACAATTTAAATCATCATCTAGACACCAGTCAAGCAATGTTTTCTTTCTCAGTCGTTCCAAAGTGTACAAAAACTTCAGGTTAATCAAACAGTTTTACAGTAAAAAGCACAAAATATGCAAAGTACTTCCTAACCAACATGCAAACCTAAGTAAGCCCTGACAAATATTTTCTCATATGTCGAAATCACCACAATCACACATTATAACCCATCATATCATAACAGGGTTTCCATAATATTCAACTACTCAGGTTACCATAAAGGAAACAATAACTTAGCAATAAATGAAACAACAACTTGGCGATAATCCTTGGTGTACTCTAAAATATAGACTAACCTATTTATTCAAAAAAACCTACTGTCCAATAAAAGCACATAGTAGTATTAACTTGACAATATCTAAACAGCTACCTTCATTTCTGGTTCCCTGTATCCTAAACCTTGTTTAATGCTGCTGGAACTGCTTTCTGTGTTGTCTGCTACAGCTTGCAAGTCATCGCCTTTGTTATCATCTTCATCATCGTTCAATCTGTGTTACTATGAATAGTGCTCTTCAAAACCATCACGAGCATTAGATGTTCCAGTTTCTGAAAGTTCTTCAATATTATTGCTTAATTAATTAGAATTCAAGCATCCAAAATCCATGAACAGATATAAATCAATTAGTAAAATGAAAACAACCACTATTTGGATGAATTTATTTTAAAGCTTAGGGTACCACATGAATAAATGTTTCAAGATGTCTTTCTTTGCTTTGAAAAGTTGCCTTTATCTTTCTTTGCTTTGAAAAAATTGAAAATCACACGAATACTTAAAAAAATTTTAGAATCTTGTTAGGGTTGTGCTAAGGGGAAAATTGTGCAAGGATGAATATACACAAGTAAATAAAGTATATGAACTGCTTATTACCACAAATTATAATAGCCCTGTTTACAGTGGAATAGTTTCAATTTAGGCCTGCAACTTCTCGGTTGGTCATTCATATGCCAGGAAACAAATAAGTAATGATGTACGAGTAACTTCTCCTCATTTTGTTTTTTCTCTAACTTTGTAATGAATTTTCTAGCTTACTTTTCATTCTAATTGGAATCAAATGAATATTGAACAGAACCATGCTTTCATCATATATTCACCTATATTTTTATGTCTTAAAATTTATCGTAAAATATAGAGGGTTTTATTTTTGAGTAAATACTCTAATTGTACCATTGGAAAGAACTGTATGAAAGTCTTACGCAAGAGCTGTATTAAATTTAATGCTAATGCTTTTTTATAATTCTGTCATTTCATTTCTACTATGTTAGTATATATACAGTACTGTATATAGTATATATACAGTACAAAGTCCGTAATCCGGACATCCATTATCCAGAATGATCTATAATCCGGACCTCAAAGCCACAAACTTACGCATGCGCGTTTGATGCGTGCATCCGCTACGCATGCGTGTATAGCCAGTAAAGCATTTACGCATGCGTGGTTCCGATAGTGAAGAAAGTAACAGAAAGGTTATTATCGAAAAAGAAAAAATTTTGATTGACAAGTTAGTCGATATTCTCGACACAGCAATTACAGGACTTGAAGAGCAGAACTTTGTACTGAACAAGAAATTATGTCTGTTTATAGAATTAAAGAGAAAGTATTAGCACAAAAAACGAAGCAACTTAAACAACTTACATTGAAAGAAATGTTTAATAAAGTAAACAAATAAATATTAAGCTTTTTTTTTTGTAAATTTTGATACCCTTTAGATCATAATTGCTCTTTATTTCATAAATTACAATTTCATATTTTTAATTGTATAATTTCTGCATGCCATCTTACCAGATTTAAATTGATGATCTATAATCGAAAAAAACCCCTAATCTGGAATTGCCGAAGTCCGGACGAGTCTGGATTACGGACTTTGTACTGTATATATATATTTTTTATTGCTTCAGAATTGCAGACTTTTCATAAATTTTGCTATTGGAACAACTGAAATAAGTTTTAAAAATAATTTAAAATTGTATTTGCTTAAAAATTTAATATTGTATTTTTCCCTTTAAATAAAATGCTTTTCAAAAAACAGTACTTGTCTCATTAAAACATACATTATGGTAACTTATAAGTTATCCCTCAATTTTCATCGTAAAATATGTTTACTTGGATTTTTTAATGTCTGTGGTATTTCAGCATGTAATATTTTATTTAATTATTTATTATTATTATTATTATTTGTAAAACGTCTTCAATATATCAAACACATGTATGTTTAGGTACTTTATTTGCAATCCTTTCTTTCTTCTTTAATACTCCTTCAGGAATGCAGAATTGCCTTATATGTAGAACTGTTTTGTTCTTGCCAATGTGTATGAATGGCTATAACTTTCAGATAATAAAATCGCCTTAAATTTTTGAATTATTACTAAGAAACATTTTCTTGTACAAAAATATTTGCATACTGACTGATCATGTATGTTTGATCTTGATTTGGAGATCTGTATGATAAGCTGCAATTTTAAAGTAGTTTTCCCAAGTAGAAAGCCATGTTATTATAGTCTGAAAAATTATTTTTTGCTAATTATTCTTTACTTCCTTTTTTAAGAATTTTTCTCTTTAGTTTATGCATTTATATACCGAGGAGGAAATGAATTGTACTTACTGATCATAATTTTTGCTTATATATATTTGCTTATAATATAGTATTTATTTTAGTATAATGTTTTATGTTCAGCTTCATTTCAAGCATTTTCATCATCATTTGCAG